GTGTTCTTCCATTGGAGTGAGTGATGAGAGCCACAATGTTTTTCTCCATGTCATTTCCAAACAGAGACATCACCGAATCAAAGATGTACATCAATCTGTCACTTAGTCTGTTATCGGTCGCCTTCATCACCAGACCCACTGCATGAAGTATCTGAACACCGTCTTCTGTCTCAAACAAGGTCCGCATCCTGTCAATGACGACGCCATCTTGTTCGATTCCTTTGCTGCTTCCATATCCAGGAGTATCAATGATGGTGATCGAATAGGGCAGAATTTTACCTTCACAACTACAGATCTCATATATGATCACATCTGGTGTTTCACCTTCTTGCCTATCTACGATCTGAAACCAGACCCCATCCTCAAACTGAACTCCCATTACATGGTTGAAAACAGCATTGACCAAAGAGGATTTTCCTGACCCTGTTTCACCAACAAGTAAGATGGTTTTATTAATCTGCTTAGTGTCTTTTGTACCAAAAGTCACTTTGGACAGAGCTCCAAACTTCTTCGTTTCTGTTTTCAGTTGATAGATCTTTGGATGTCCTGAGGAGATCTGAACACATTTGGAGATCAATTTTGACAAAGAGTAATTCTTCGTCCTGTAAAGAAAAAGAGTACAAACTTGCTCAAAGAACCTTTCATGTTTTGTACATGTTTCCTTAGTGAACTAAATGTCTGAAGTCGAACAAAAAGTAACAAAAAACCAACTAACTTAAGTTTCTGATATTGCAAAGTAGATTATAAAGCAATTTAATCTAGAGCGAGGTATTATTGCATACAGTATTTGAGACAAAATCCCACCTATGAATGTATTTTCTATATTAGAATTTAGTTTGGGTCTAAAAATTTCCCAGCCCAGATATTTCCCATGATATTGTGTCAGAGCTCAATTAAAGCACTTAATCCAGACCTCTGACTTTGCACTCTGCTTGCTTATTACTATAACTTCCCCTATTTTTAGCACTTATTTAACATCAAGCATATAATTTTGTCTTGACCACATCCAAATTTCTGGTATGTGTCAAACTTTATATTGCTCTCTAAACTCTACTCCAGAAAGAGTAACATGGGTATTGCTTTCGTATTGACCCAGTCCGTGAACGTCTGCATGTAGTTTTAGCATTGGCAGTGGAGGAAGTGAAGGCAGCCATTCAGGCCATCTTGAACACATTTTCAAATATCGAATCAACATAACACATGCCTAGTTTGGATGTCTTTGCAATTTGTGTGTTAGTGTCGAACTGGGTATAATTTAAAACTTCATCAGAGTCAACATCTCCAGGAAGCAATAATTTCACAGTAGCTGAGAGCCCATAGCCTCTGAATGAAGGAATGCATTGAAATAAGGGGCTAGTTTTACCAGGCTAGGTTTAATTAATAAATTTCTATTTTTCCTCTTCTGGGATCTGAAAACAATTATTGCAGTTTAATGACTCTTCTGTCCACATACGCACTGCTAGCAATTTTAGCAAGATTAAATCATATTGTATGACAATTTACTTTTTAATGTTTCTGCTTCATTTTTTTCTTCTGTTTGAATTTGTTTGGTAATATTCATTGAAGTAAAGCAATGAAGAATGGAATTGGTTTATTTGTAATGAACACTGAAAGCTCGTACAAGCTGACTAGCCGCAGTCTACACCTTTTCAAACTAAACAACCATTAAATAATTTCTGTTTGACTTAATTTTCAATCTTACTGGTCGGAGTTGGTGTTGCTTTACTGGAACAACTATCATTTCATGTGTTTGAGATGTAATAACTATCTTAAATATTCTGAAAATACAGCATTTACTTTGAAATAGTTTAAAAGTAAGAAATCAACACAAACAATCTAGTACAGATTCCTTTATTCACCATCAAAGAAAAATATTATTCACAAATTCATCTTAAATATTCTCAGTTAACAAGTCAAATCTGTCCATAGTACAAAGAAAATTGAATATGATTATAAATGCAAGCAAGCAACAAGTAATTCCACACATCACCACTTCAGGTATTTCCTGCTGTGCTAAAAACAAAGATGTCCTCACATAGCATAACCACTATCATCTTAATAGATTTTATTTTCATATTGTTGTATGAAAGTGCTTATTGCACAAAAAATAAATATATGAAACAAATAACTATGTCAATTAATTAAATCCCTTTCTGATTACCATGACTCCTACAGGCATCACTTTTTAAAAAGCTTTTCAATTAGTTCTGAGCTGGTTCATCTGATCAGAACTAGTGTTGTACAAATACTTTTACCAAACTTGACAGTTTTATAGTTTCAATGCAATCAACACTTCTCTACTTCTACAAATAAGACAGAAAAAATATATTATCAAAGTTTGAGATTCTTACTTTTCAATCACATCAAAACCAGTTTAGTGTTTAGTATAATGCAGAAAGTTGAAGCTTGAATTATATTAATTCAGCTGCAGGATTACCTAATAAAACCATCATGCCATCACTTTATGACAATGTAACAACTTTGTGGCTGAATTTTCTTCTGGAGCACATCTATATAGCCAGCAGTAAACTGCATTATAGAAGTATCAGCTTGAGATAAAATAATACTGAAAGACTGCTGATAATATTTATGCAATCAACTGATTGGATTTAAATATTGTACCATGTTTGTACAAAGCTGAACATTAACCCTGACCCCAAGCCAACAGAGACCAGAAAACCATCATGAATTCAAAATAATGTTGAAGGTAAAACAATTAAAATAGCTCTTGTGCACTCTTTGAGTTATGGAGTCAAATATGGATGTTTAGAGCTTTATTTTGATTTATTGTAAATGTTTTCACTGTTCTATCACTTTGAAGTACTTATTTAAAGTAAGCATATTATTATTATTATTATTATTATTATTATTATTGTCTTCATTATTGTCACTAGTATTATTGCTACCTGAAAGTCCATGTCTTTCAAGTCTCTTATGGCCATTCTGCACTAAAGACAGTATCAATAGACCTAAGAAACTAATTGATTAAACCCATGAGTGCTTACCCCAGTGAGAAATGGGTGAGAGTGGAAGTGTCTTTGTAGATGGTGTGCAGCATTCCCACTAACTGCACATGCGTTTTTTTGGACTTGTAATTTCACACTCCTTATTTGGCATCATTTAAGCCCAGACCTTTAAAAGATGCCTGAACTAATGTATCTGCTGCCACATTGTGCTAATAATTAAGACTTAGCATACATTTGGATTGGTGTAATTCTGGTTCCAGTGATCCCACATTGTCCACCTAACTTATTTGGACATTATTGACCAAATATACAAATACAACAAACATTCCATTGTAAAAGCTTGATCATCTACAGTGTTTACTAACACTGTGGTTAAATGCTTCTCATAAGTATCATTCCCACCAAATTTATTTACATACATTTTTAAAATAGTCTGTGGTTTTCACTTCAGATGAAAATTTACTAAATACAGCTACTACAGCCTTCCTATTTAGTTTGGTTCGGGGATATGAATGTTTTGGACTATCTTCTGTTTCATTACGTTGTGTCTGTCATTTTACCACACACATACTGCAGAGCTAATTTAGTTCCTTCATCCTGTCTGCTCTTGATCTCCTCCAGCTTCTGCACCTTCGCCTCGATCTCCATTTTCTTTCATCTTCTCAATCAGAAAGTCCAAGTACAAAAATGTAGAACTGAATCAACCTTCAGGGCGATCTGCTCCAGTCTGACCCATGTTTGAAGGCTTCTTCAACAAGTTGGGACTTCTCTGTTGAAAGTTCCTTCAATTCCTTTTGCATATGTTCTAAAAGACTTAACTTCTTCTCACAGTCAGCCTTGTTCTTCATATACTTCTCTTCCATAGCTTTCACAGTCCACTGAACTCTTCTGGTCTTGTTGACATATCTCCAGGCCTCTCTCACATGAGCCGATGCAGGACACTTCCCAGTGCAGACAGTGCAGCGGCCTCTCTTTATCACCTCGCAGTGTTGCGGACTCGGAACAAGTGTACATCCAGGATAGTGACAGTTTTCCTCACAGACTGTGCAGCACACAGCTTTTTCAAAATAACTAAGCCTCATCAACTTTTACCTTTAGTAGGTTCCTTCGCCTTGTAGACTTCTGTAATTTCTACAGTGAAGTTTTTATTCTTCTTCATTTCCTCTGAATGTTTCTGATAGCTTCTAGGGTTTTATTAATTTCCACCTCTTTCTGTTCAGTCAGTTGGATTCTGTCCTGGAGGTTTTGGAGAGAGGATATCAGGCTGATGCGCTCATTCAAAACTTCAGCAGTGGTCATCAGTCTTGTAGGTGCAGTTTTTTCCAGGAATCCTGTGATGCTCTCATTCCTTTGTCGAAATTTGTCTGCCATTTGCAGGAATTCTGCGTCGTCTTCTTCTGTTCGGTCTTCATTCTGGCAGTTATCAACAGAAAGTGAACAGGCTGGTTCTTTTCATTTTTGGCACATTTAATTTTTGTTTGTTGAAGGGCTTCGATGGCGTTTCTGGGTCTCTGTCCATCTGAGTGAGTGAGAAGAGCAACAATGTTGTTCTCAAGGTTTCTTCCAAAAAGAGACATCACTGAGTTCAGGACATATGATAACCTGTCACTACACGATTATCTGTAGCCTTCATCACCAAACCCACTGCATGAATCTCATGAACTCCGTCTTCTGATCGAAACAAGTCAAACAATCTGTGACTGACTATTGCGTCATATTCAATCCCTCTGGTGTCTCCAAATCCAGGAGTATCGATGATGGTCAGGAGAACGGCATAGTTTTACCTTCAAATCCAAAGATCTCGTACACAATCACGTCTGATGTCTGACTGTCAGACTGACTCCTACCGTCCTCCTCTACAATCTGAAACCAGATTTTATCCTCCCACTTAACTCCCATGGTGTAGTTGACCATCGTGTTGATCAGGGTTGATTTTCCAGCCCCTGATTCTCCAACAAGTAAGATGATTTTGTTTATCTTGCTGATGTTCTTTTTACCCAAGGTTACTTTGTCAGAGGTCCAAAGCTCCTCCTTTTTTAGCTTTAGCTGGTAGATAGCAGGAGATCCTGGTTGGATCAGAAGACTTTTAGAGATGACATCCTTGTATTTGGTGGAGAAATTCCTGTAGAAAAAATCAATAATTTACCCCTTATAGATGTAAGATGTATAGAAAATAGGCCCAAAATTATTCCTACCCCTGGCAGATTTAGGTTTAAATCTTTTAATTTGACCTACAGGAAGCCATAATGTCCTTAAATGGTTAAGTCCGTGTCATGACCTATATGAAATGAGGTAAGGTTTGGTGTGGTCACAATGAGGCCCTCTATCCTAAAAGACTTGAACCTCAATACAAAGATAAACCATCACAAGGGCCAAGATGCAGAGAGCTGCTCAACCGTTGGAAGAATGGTTTTACTGCTGTAATGCCAAAGATTTTTCCATATATTATTATGGATAACTTTTTCAATGCATTTCTTTTAATGGATGGTAAATAAAAATAAAGAATTGTTTTCACTGGTTTTTCTGTTGTTTATGAGAACCTTGTCTCATTTTCTCTGAAAAACAAAGTTCTCTTTTGAACGAAAATCATATTGAAATTAATCTGCTAATGGTATGAATGATTTTGGGCTTAATTGTAATCATAGAAATATTCATGGTCGGTGCAAATTTTGCTGTAGAATTCACTGAGTACCCTACATAAATTTGGCTCTTTTTCAGTTGAAGCATTTGTTATTTGTACATTTGATACTAAATATACTAATATACTAATTCACTATTTGACAAAGTTTTTCTGCTATAAAACATTTTATAACTTATGGTTGTATTGTAAAGTAGAAGCCATGAAAACACAGAACAGGTACCATTGATTAAGATCGTTATAGATCAGATTACCGTGTGAAAGTAACTCACAAACTTAGAAAAACACTTTCCACTTCTAAAAGTATTAACTGCATTTAAGATATCCACTGCCAACTTCAGTTCAGTTCAACTTCAGCTCACTGGAAAGAGCTTTTTTAACCTTGAGTTTTCTTATCCAATTTTAATGTCACAATGTCTCAGCATGTAGCATAGGGTAGGGTAAATGAATAACGAAATGAGCAAATGTAGCTGAGACATAGTGATACTGTAGTCTGTCAACAACAGCACTGGGTGTATGAGACAAAACACTCACTGGCTGTTTAACACTTCAAGAGGTTTGTAGTTAATCTCAATCTAAACTTGGAATGATTTGTGTTTTATATCACACTGGAAGCAGAAGTAAAGATAATTCCTCTGATGGCGTATTCTGTGCTGATGGTTCATTTTGAAGCTTCATGGAGGTTTGCATACGGTACTGTGCAGGACAGGGGTCTCTAACCCTTGTCGTCAAGATCTACAGTCCACAAAGTTTTAGATGCAATCCTACTCCAATCAAATGAATCACTCATCTTCAGCATTTCCCAATTTGATGGTATACTGAGAAGGGTTTTCAATCATTTGATTCAACTGTGTTTGTAGAGACGATATATCTAACACCTGCAGGACATTAGATCTTGAGGACTAGAGTTGAGACATCTTATTTAGGTTATAGGAGGACTTCACTACTTGGTATTAGAAAATATATTTTAGTATTAGAACTATTTATACAAGTTTATCAAGAACAGCTTCTTTTTCATTTGGTGAGCGAATGACACTTGTGTTGCATTTAAGGTGTAACAAGAAAGTTATAAAGATTTTACAAATTTTTCTGGGTATAATTGATTTTACCTGTCAAATAGTCACTGGTTACTCAGGAAGCTACTCAGGTGGTTACTTAGTGTTACCCTAGAGCATCAATAAGAAAAGCAAACTAAAGACCCCTACATACTCGGGCATTTCTGAACCACGCGGACTCTGAGCATACTGTGCATGGACAGTGGGTCTTCATGCTCAAGTGTACTGATTACCTAAAATTCTGTCGTGACAAACCCTTTATTTCACACAATTCTAGTGAGAACTAGCAAGTCTGATGAGATATTTTGGACACTAGTCCTGTTTCTTCTCTATCGGGGAACCCTCAACACACCAGTCAGTGTGGGACAGAGAATTGCAGTCACATGCATCCTGCAAAGATGGATAACCGCAGCAGCGCGCAGCATCCTACTGCAGATCCTACTGACTTGCAGGCTCTATGGTTTTTCTGAACCGTTGTTCAGAAAAAAAAGGTCGGATTCAACATATTGGACCACCTCTGCTCTGCTGCTGGCAAAGAAGTCTGGGATGACGTCTTGTTTTTTATTCTTATAGTTCTGCATAACACACCATGTCAATATTTGCATGTATATTGCTAATCTAACCTGTTGATATGAAGCATTTTCATGTGTCTTCCTATAACGTCTCAGGGACAACTCTGTATCAACTTTTATCATGTTGAGTCAACTGTATGACAATATTAAATCATGTAACCCCTATTCTCAAATTTATCAGCCTGGTGTCACATGAGAACCAGTTTGATGTGAACACTATTTCTACTGGGCAGCTTGCTGTGCGACATCAAGAATGCCTACATAGTTATAAAAATTTATCTTTGTGCGTGTAACCCAGGTAAAACTGCCCTTAATCCCGCCTTTGCTGCTCCATTGGTTAGAGTGATAGTCAATCACACAGAGTAGTCAGCCATCATTGCACCTGGAGTGGTTTTTAGGCCTGCTCCAGCTTTTTCCAATCAGATGTGAGGGGGAGAGCTGGAGACAAAGGAGCTGCAGGTTTGTGCTTCCAAACAATTAGTTCATCTCTTTGTTATGTACTTTTAAACCTCATAATAAAAAATCATGTAGATCTGGGTATCCAGTGAGCTTGGAGCCAGGAAGTTCTCATACAGTGATCTATAAATGGAATTGGTGAGTAATGAACACAATGTTTTGTTGTTTGACATGTTGGTGGTGTATCCAATGCTAATTGTTCATCAAACATACCATCTGACTTTTTAATTCAATACATGTATTTAAGATAATGAAATGAATGCTGATATCTTTATTTTAAAGATTTGATTGTGGATATGATTTCTGGATATAACTGAAAAAAGTCTAGTTAACTAGCAGGATGGTAATTTACTGGACCTGTTTATTTCAATACAGGCCAGGTGACCCTTTTTTGGGTTAAACGGTGGTGAGCTTCTGATAACTGGCTGGAGAACCTGAAATTGACTCCATACTGGTCTGGTAGGAGGCTGATGGTCCACAATATTTCCCCCTCCATCTCACTACATGGACACACATCTCATTATTCATCTTGAGATGTGTGTCTTGGACATTTTCCTCTTAAATATCTGGACAAACACATCATGGACTTTTAAATGTGTGTCGGTCAGACGTTGTGCTGACCAGGCGGGGAAAAGTGAAGGACTCTTTGTGCACAATTATATAGAAGATCTACTGCAGTACTGTGTATATGTTGTATTTTTGTTTTTTGTATGTTTTGTCTTGTAATGTTTACTTATTTCCCTCTTTAAAATGCATAGTATTGAAAGCAGTTATTCTTTTGTGTTGTTTTATGATTACTGACAACAGCTCCAGTAGATGAATTTAGTCTTCTGATCTCAGATGCTACCTAGTCTTCTTGCTATATTAAACACTGCTATATGCCGACAAGATGTCTGTTTGGAAAAGATATTCAGATCAAGCAGTCTGATTGACAGACCAATCAGACTGATTGGTCTGTCATTAGACTTCCAGGTAAATGGCACAGAGGATGCTTCTTTAAAGTCTTTTGATGATGTTCATGTCTTGGAGCAAAAGACTTCAGTCAAGTCTCTGATCTTTGAACTAGTCTGTTTTTTCAAGTTTGTTTATAAATTTGTAGATTTGAAACTATTTTATGGTTTGTAATGTTTCATTTCTCTATTTTTTTACTGCTATTTTTAGCTGGTTAGAGAAACTTGTAGGTTCTTAAACATTATTCACATCTGCGTTACATAGCAAACGGCTGTTTTGACAGACTATTTGTCTTGGCTACTGTAATAAATATTTTCAACAATGTCAACTATGCATAAGAGTGTCTTTATGTACAGAATGACATGTAATGAAAACACTCACAATATAAGAGCGGTTGTGTCGTGTTTATGACAGCGTCATGTCAGTCTTATATACACTGCTTCAAATAAAGTGTTACAATCAGAAGAATGGCTGGAATTCCTCTGGATAGGCAGTAAAGACTTGATACAAACTATAAAAATTACAACATGCTCTAACCCAGAACGAAAAGACATAATTGACTGTTGGCATCTGAGGGGCTGATCATTTTTGAGATAGTTATACAAGTATTTAAAATAAAACTGATGTTTGGAAAAGCAGTATTGAAAAGTTGATGACCTGTTTAAGCAGAAAAATTTTAAATTTTGTGGAGGAGGGTAATAATCTTGACTTAACAGACTAACATACACACCTATATGTATATATATAGATAGATATTCCAACCTGTTAAATCCTGTAAAGCAGGGGCGTCACCATCCAGTCCTTAAGGGCCGGTGTCCTGCAACTTTTAGATGAGCCTCTGCTGCACCACCTCAATAGAATAATAGGTGATTAGCAGGCTCTGGAGAACTGATGCACACAAGGAAGAGGTAATTAAGCCATTTCATTCCTGTGTTTTGTACCTGTGGCACATCGAAAAACTGCAGGACAGTGTCCCTTGAGGACAGGAGTTTGACACCCCTGCTGTAAAGCATTTTATGTGAAACTCATCTGTTTGAAAAGTGCAATTTAAATAAAATGTGAAATTTACATTACAAAGTCTTAATGTTTGAATTTTAACAAAGTAAACATTTGTTTATGTGATACTTTGTGACTTGAACAGGCTTGTGGAAAAAATCCATGAGTGATGGTTTTGTTTGTGCCATCTTGTGGTGACACTGTGCAATTACACAAAACAAACAAAATGACCCCCTGCTGGGAGAGGATTGGAGGGGAGACATGTTAATCTGGAGCTTACTTAGGGGTGCAGTTTTTCATAAGGACAATTTCCTCTTGCTCACAGAAAAAATAGGAGTATCTAATTTATTTACTTTGTATCAACATTATTAGCTTTTCTTTGCTCTTTCTTTTGGTTTGTTATTTCCTTTTAGTTCCTGTAAAGCTCTTTGTATTGCCTTGTTCTGGAAATCTGCTATATAACTTAAACTACCTTTACATATCCGTCCTGCACTATTTTAGTAATGGCATCATCAAAATGAGCACCTTAATTACAGCTAAATTGAGAGCAGAGCCGATGAGTGCAACAGATGATGGTCTGTCTTAATTTAGTAGCCAATCATTTGGGTTAAGTGAAAACTGTCCAGCACGTTTCACAAGACTTTTCATGTTTTCATCTTTGTGCATTTTGTTATCTTTGGTTAAAATATTCTGTGAACAATTTTTAACATCAGCTGAGAGATGTTTAGGATCTGTTTAGCATTTGTGCTTTGAATAAGAGCTTCTGTCACAAAGTCATTAGTTAATGTTCCACAGCAAATGTAAAAACACTTATCACATTAAAATGTCTACTAGAGACTTTCTCAGATATTATTTGACATAACGTTCATCTGGTTTCAGATGTTGGACGATTTAAGTGTTACTCACGATCTTTCCATTGTGAGGAAGTCGTCCAAAGATCTCCACACGTTGGAACACCACTTGTGTCTAACAAGAAAATCAAAAAGATATAGCTGCTGTTCTCATTCATTTCTACAGCAGTTACCAATATTAGACATTTATCATATCTTTCACCATGACATTAATAACATACCATTTTGATAAAAATTTGTTTGTTAGTAAATACATGAGCTCTTTGATTATTAAACTCCCATTTAAAATTGCTAATTACAAATGATGAAAAAGCAAAATAGTAACCTCAAAATTTCCTAATTTTTCTGAACTATGCTATTTTGTGTGAATATTCTGTTGTTTTCTTATTTCATATAGCTAAACTAATTAAATCTGAGCCTAACCTGTGTGTAAGTTGCCCGTGGCTCCTTGTGAAACTCAGGGAGAGAAGGCAGATCTAAAGTCAGTCAGTGTGCTGCGGTTTTATACTGTCAGGGAGGACAAAACACTGATCACATGGTTTCTGACATGTGCTCATCATGAAATGAAATCTTTGGCTGAAGAGACCAATAACACGCCCTGAAACATTTCCTGAAGTTAAAACACAACAAACAGCAGCCAGACACAAAATGAAAGGGCATAAAATAAAGAATAATAGACTTTTTAACTTGTTTGTTAATTAACAAAGACTAGGAGATGCATTTACATTTAATTACTGTTGATAATTCATTTAGAAGGACAACAGAAACCCTTCTGTTTATTAGCTTTTGTTTAAACTTTGGGTTAATAAATTATGAAAAAAATATATAGTATTTTAACTCCCTTAATCAAAGTTTACAATAGACTTGAATACCAAAGATTAACTGCAAGGCTATTGAAAGTACATGTTATTATTCTTGTAGTAAATCTTTTTGGGGCATGAAGCTCCCTCAAAATGCATAAAAAGCATCTTAAAACACATCATTTGTGGTAAAGATGTACATGGATTAAGGCTTAAAAAACACAAGTGCAAATACAAAAGGTTAACAGGTTAAACAGGTCCCTAGGGCGCTGTTTGCTGTTTACTTGAAACCATGCAACTAGTTACTACTATTATACAAGTTTCTCTCATTTGAAATTTGACAGTTAGGTATTTTTTCATTCACACCACATAGCAGCTTTCAACCACTGATCATTAGTATTTTCAACTTTGACAAGCAAGAAAAAGGTACAGGACTTATTACAAATGAAACTTCTTTGAGTCTGTTTATCATCCACCTTTCCAAGAATACAGAAACTTTGTGAAACAAAATGTTCCTTACTGTGTGAATCCTTCCACCTCTGAGTTGTTGAGGAGTACCAAGTGTTTGCAGTAATTTTCAAGTTTGGGCCAGGTAAAAGGGGGGCATTTCATGGAATGATGATAATGTCTGGATTTTCTTGGTTTTGGGGATCCATAATCATCCTTAAATGTCTGTAGCAATACCTGGTGTTCAGAGCAAACAGCTGGGAACAGTGCAGCAGGTGTGTTTATACAGGTGAGCAGGCAGACTGAACACGGCAGGCAGCTGTGGTCTCGTTGATGCTTAATGTAAGTGTAGCTTTACGGACAAACTAGAAAGTAAAGGTAACATTACTCTGTTTGCAGACTGAGTGCAGCAGGGCGCTGGACCACGTCACGGTGGTACACAGCTGGTAGATGGGTTTCTGTGTGATGGAGCCAAATCCCACCATTCACATAAATGGCTGGACAAAGTGAGAGTTCATGTATTAAATTGACTGAAGATAAAAAAAAAAAACATAAACAGAAAACTGGAGCATACACATTTTTACAAATGGCTCTACTAAGTTCCTTATAATTTCAGATTTTCATGAAGCCTTTCTTCAGGTGAAGTTAGAAAATTAATGGTTGTTACAAGTTAATTTTCTAAATTATGGAAAAGTTTTTGTTAGGCACGCTGAAATAAAAAATTGGTTCAATGTTGATATCTTTAGTTTATATGCTGTTATGGCTATTATATAAACTTTTTATTCATTACTTGAATAATTGGTATGATAATCAATAGATACTTGATTACCAAATAATCTTTTACAACTTCTGTTTGCCTCTGACTTGCTGCTTGCACACTTTCCTTTTCTCTCCTGTTCTGAATTTCTCCAGCCAAACCAGTTCCAAAGCTACATTCCTTTGTCTGGCTTGAAGGTTAGCACAAGTGGATTTTTATGACTGTTTGTCTATAAGAGGCAGGCAGGTCTGAGTCTGGACAGTGACCTGAACTCCTCTCCATTTTTTCTTGTTCCTTCCTCATTTGGAGGAGTTCAGGTATCTTAGGGTTTTGTTCACAAGTGAGAAAGTGTTTCAGTTTGATTGATAGAAGCAAGCAGACTTTTCTCTGTTGTTATTTCTGTCTCAGAAACATTTACAGAAAGTCAAAGCAGCATTGCTTGAAAATCTGGTCAGCTTTTAAAAATGTTGCTCAGCAGGAAATAGATTTTTTTGTCAATCCACAGACAAGAGGTGTCAACACACTCACGCACCATCGCCTGTTCAGATAAGATCTAGTATAGTACATGCTGTCAAACCTCCCTTCTCTCCATCAGAGCATCCATGTGAACTTTGATGAAAGACTGAAAAGCAGAGATGTTAAAGAAAACATTTTTTTTTAAATCTGTCACAGCAACTAAACTAAACCCCCGTTCAGTTTTTCTTCCTGCTTGTGAGAATCAGGATGCAGAACAGTGAGATTTGCCGGGTATCGATGGTATCCAGGTTGGATGAATGCGAACCGGACGTTGGGTCCAGCCTGTGTTGTTCATGAAAAGGTCAGCTAGAGGTCACATTACGGCAGAAATAACTCAGAACCGGTCTGCAGTTTAAAACTAAACTGCACCAGTAAATCTTCCTCCCCACATTTTAACATGCACTGATTTAAAAAATACTTTTAGAGACATTAGTTTATCACTCTTAAAACTTTTTCTCCTGGAAGTTCACCAAACTTCCAGGAGAAACTAGTAAAACTAGCAGGCTGATGACTAGTAAAACTAGCAGGCTGATGACTAGTAAAACTAGCAGGCTGATGACTAGTCAACATTTAAAACGCCAACATGTGGAGTAGCAAAAGCAAATGTCTGGTTCACTGGTGAGCCTGACATGCACTGATCGACTCCTGCATCTTTAAAATGTAACAAGTTCACTGAAATGTGTACAGTGTTCAACTTTTGCATCAAAAGACCTGTGAGTTTGGTGCTAGCAAACATTGAGCTGGTTTCAGCAAAAGTTTCAATTGTAGTTTTAAATTTAAAAAAAAGAAGAAAGAAACTATGGGTGATTGCATAATTGAATAAATATACAAACGTCTTGCCGTAGTGTCCCGACTCCGCTCTGGCTCGTTTTGCAGCTGATGTGGGTGTGTGATGGTTCTCCCATCAAGTTCATTTAGCTTAAATCAGCCAAATGGATTTTAAATGTTGATGCAGCACAAGAGCAGCAACTTGCATTTATTGACTTTGTTTTGTCTGTGATAGAAGTTGCAGATAAATCTGTGTCATGGTCAGTTGCAGTGATTTGCAGATTCTGACAGCAGCGACTCGTCTTAACATTCTGGGACCAGTAGATGCAGTAGATGCGGTAGATGCAGTAAATGCAGTAGATCAGTAAATGCAGTAGATGCCGTACATGCAGTAAATGCAGTAGATGCAGTAAATGCAGTAGATCAGTAAATGCAGTAGATGCGTACATGCAGTAGATGCAGTAAATGCAGTAGATCAGTAATGCAGTAATGCCGTACATGCAGTAAATGCAGTAGATGCAGTAAATGCATAGATGCGTAATGCAGTAGAATCAGTAAATGCGTAGATGCAGTAAATGCAGTAGATGCCGTAAATGCAGTAGATCAGTAAATGCAGTAGATGCAGTAAATGCAAAAAATGCAGTAGATGCAGTGAATGCAGTAAATGCAGTAGATGCCGTAAATGTAGATGCAGTGAATGCAGTAAATGCAGTAAATGCAGTAAATGCAGTAGATCAGTAAATGCGGTAGATGCAGTAAATGCAGTAAATGAAGTAAATGCAGTAAATGCAGTAAATGCAGTAAATGCAGTAAATGCAGTAAATGAAGTAAATGCAGTAGATGCAGTAAATGCAGTAGATGCAGTAAATGCAGTAGATGCAGTAAATGCAGTAGATGCAGTAAATGCAGTAAATGCGGTAGATGCAGTAAATGCAGTAGATGCAGTAAATGCAGTAGATGCAGTAAATGCAAGATGCCGTAAATGCAGTAGAATCAGTAAATGCAGTAGATGCAGTAAATGCAAAAATGCAGTAGATGCAGTGAATGCAGTAAATGCAGTAGATGCCGTAAATACGGTAGATGCAGTAATGCAGTAAATGCAGTAAATGCAGTAGATGCAGTAAATGCAGATGCCGTAAATGCAGTAGAATCAGTAAATGCAGTAGATGCAGTAATGCAAAAAATGCAGTAGATGCAGTGAATGCAGTAAATGCAGTAGATGCTGTAAATACGGTAGATGCAGTGAATGAAGTAAATGCAGTAAATGCAGTAGATCAGTAAATGCGGTAGATGCAGTAAATGCAGTAAATGAAGTAAATGCAGTAGATCAGTAAATGTAGTAGATGCAGTAAATGCAGTAAATGCAGTAGATGCCGTAAATGCAGTAAATGCAGTAAGAAGTAAATGCAGTAGATGCAGTAAATGCAGTAGATGCAGTAAATGCAGTAGATGCAGTAAATGCAGTAAATGCAGTAGATGAGTAAATGCAGTAAATGCGGTAATGCAGTAAATGCAGTATATGCAGTAAATGCAGTAGATGCAGTAAATGCAGTAAATGAAGTAAATGCAGTAGATCAGTAAATGCAGTAGATGCAGTAAATGCAGTAAATGCGGTAGATGCAATAAATGCAGTAAATGCAGTAGATGCAGTAAATGCAGTAGATGCAGTAAATGCAGTAAATGCAGTAAATGCAGTAAATGAAGTAAATGCAGTAAATGCAGTAGATGCAGTAAATGCAGTAAATGCAGTAAATGCAGTAAATCAGTAAATGCAGTAGATGCAGTAAATGCAGTAGATGCAGTAAATGCAGTAGATGCAGTAA